GCAATCCTTATAATAATGAGCAAGTTCAAAAAATCATTTATGGAGACTGACCTGTCATGATTGAAAACTTACCTCTAACTGTTACCAAGGTAGCTCGAGTTGTATCGCCCACTGTGTTAATGGCTTTACAAGCGTATCTACCATTATCCTCAATTTGTGCAGGGAAAATATACAATGTATTGTTGGGTAAAATCATATTTCTACCATTGGATGTTATCATAGATGTTGCAGTCCACCACTCGATAGATGGCTGTGGGTCACCTTCTGCCTGGCAATCTATTAATATTGCATCTCCTTGATCAACAATCATAGCTTCGGGTGGCTCTATTGTTAATTCCGGTTTACCTTAAAGATGCATATAAATATAAGGTAGATTGCATTAAAGGAAAAACTGAAGAGCTGGATCTACAATGTTTCGACAATTTGTATTGATATTTTAATGGTCCACACTGAATGACAGCTACATGACTACCATGTGACAACTACATGTACTTGACAAATGCATGATTGCCACATGATAACTGCATGATTGTCACATACTATTGTAACTACAGGATTGTTACATACATTTGTAACTGCATGATTGCCACATGATAACTGCATGATTGTCACATACTATTGTAACTACAGGATTGCCACATACATTTGTAATTGCATGATTGCCACATGATAACTGCATGACTGCCACATGATAACTGCATTGTTGCCACATGATAACTGTATGATTGTCACATGATAACTGCATGATTGTCACATGATAACTGCATGATTGCCAACATAACTGCATGATTGCCACAAGATAACTTCATGATTGCCACATGATAACTTCATGATTGTCACATAACTTCATGATTGTCACATGATAACTTCATGATTGTTACATGATAACTTCATGATTGTTACATGATAACTTCATGATTGTCACATGATAACTTCATGATTGTCACATGATAACTTCATGATTGCCACATGATAACTTCATGATTGCCACATGATAACTTCATGATTGTCACATGATAACTTCATGATTGTCACATAACTTCATGATTGTCACATAACTTCATGATTGCCACAAGATAACTTCATGATTGCCACAAGATAACTTCATGATTGCCACAAGATAACTTCATGATTGTCACATGATAACTTCATGATTGCCACATGATAACTTCATGATTGCCACATGATAACTTCATGATT